ACTTCTGTGTAATTTACCTTCTCTGACTGTTAGTGGGCATAATGACCACAGAGAAGGAAGGCCACTAAGAAGGCCCCCATAATAAAACAGTGAGAGATAACCATCTTAACAAATATACAAATCATAACATAGAAATGCAAGATTCATGGAAAAGCAAGGCAATATGACTCCTCTAAAAGTTCATAAATCCTCAATAATGAATCCAAAGATACTGAAATTACTGAAATCTGAACAAATAATTGAAAAATCTAGTTTTAAAAATGGTCAGTGCCAAGCATGTTGTCCCATACCTTTAACCCTAGTAGTCAGGAAGCTGAAGCAGGAGGATTACAAAGTCAAGAGCAGCCCAGGCTCCTAGTTAGGCCATGACTCAAAAAAAATTTACAAACATATAAATGAATTTGAGCTTAGTGACAGAGGCCTGTAACATAGGAGGCTCATGAGTGTGAGGCCAGCTGGCATTATATCACAATATTTCACAAAGAACCAAGGCAGGACAATAGAATAAAGATAATATTTCCAACACATGATATTTGAATATCTGGATACCCACATGTAAAAAACCCTATAGTTCATATCTTCTTTCTTAAATACTTCTGTGATTTATGTGTCATCAGAGAAATGCAAATTAGAATAAAGAACTATACAATAAATAAAGTGACTAAACATAAAAATTCCCAAACATAAACATATTCACCCACATAAATATCTATCCACACTGGATAACCATTACCTGAAGAAACTGAATCATGCCCTTGAGTTACTGTAGTCATGTTGAGAAGTTCTGAGATTAGCATGAACATCTAAACCTCAGGGGCCCTATGTCCCCTTATAGTCAATTCTGTTAACTGTGATTCCCATTAGGATCTCTCTTTTTAGAGCAATCATAGGAAAAATTCCCATGAGAAATCAGTGCACCACAAATCTCTTATCCTAACAAGAGCCGTAGAGGCCAGGAGAACAGAACACAAGCCCATGAGAAGCTAACTGCGTTTCAACAACCAAGAGAGTCCTTGCCTCTTCAGTCATGGCAGCTGCTTCTTCTGTGATGGGAGTTGTGAAAGTAGCATCAGACTGGAGACCAGATATTAGGAAAGAAATGGGGAGTTGAGGCTAGACAAGGGAAATGTGTTACCTTTTTCAGAAATTTATTAGTTTTATCCCCTTTCCTTGGACTGTCTTTGATAATCAGATTAGAAGTCCAGGGAAGAAACATGAAGAAATTGAGAAGAAACTAATTCACAGATTCAAATTTGGAAGCAAAGAAAAACCTCTGGAAATGGAGGTGAAATTCAGTAAGCTGGTCATCCCTTTGACCACCCTAACCCAATCTGGCACTTTTGTCCTTCTTTCATAGTTTTATATATTCTGTGAATTAGAAATTGTAGGATCCACCAAAACCAGCATCTGAGTTTTGGTTTTAAGTCCATTAGGTTTGGCCTCTATGTCATTTACTGGACATGTTTTAGAGGAAGCAAACCCCCCCTCAGTCAGAAAAAACCCTATATATTCCAAGAATCATACACTCACTTTGTGTTTTTAGAACTATTTTCCCAGTTTCACCCAACCAAAATTGTCTTCTCTTCATTCTAGTGAAGAGCATGGGCTATCTCCACACGTATCACTTGTAGTATTCAACCTCAGTTAACCCTAATCTTCAGTAATTTTTGCATCTCAAATTCCCCAGGTAGCCCTTTCATGAATGATTTATTTTTGAATACTGTGTTTATCAAACTGTTTTCTGACATAGTATTCACTTGCTATTCAAAAAACATCACTCAGCAGATTGTGAACAGGACAAAAAAGACCTGCATCTTCTGTCTGAGTCCAGAGCACTGGGACAAGAAAGATTGTAAGTGATGTGTTTAGTAGAAGAGAGGGATAATACATATAATATATAATCCAAGTGAGGAAAACGTAGTGTCAATGCACATATGCTAAGTCTTACAAATGTCTATCTATCTATCTATCCATCCATCCATCCATCCATCCATCTTCATCATCATCATATATCTAACATGAGGAAGGGAAGCACAAGGGTTAAGAGGATTGGCATCATTTTGAGTCAGCATGGGGTTTAACCCCTGATTGCTAGTTACTTTCTTATTGACCTTGGGAAAACCGCTTCATCTATCTAAATCTCACTGCTGATTTGTGAAATGGCAATAGTAATCACACATGCCTTATAATATCCTGTTATGGAATTTAATGAGATTCCTAGCATGTGCCTGATATTAATAATTTTTCAGTAAATATTGTCTATGTTTATTAACCTTAATTATTGATTCATTCAAATCATTCCATAAAGAAATAAATATTCCTCCTACAAAATCTGGCAAAATCATGAAATTAACATGATAATTAGATACTGAAGGATGTGATATTTTAAGCATGTGAATTAATTAATTTTGAGAACATTTGTGAATAATAGATAACAGAACATCATTAGGGTTGTTGAACAACAGCTTCCTCTGTGTTACAGTATGTTGTTCCCATTGTACATCCTTTAAATGTATTATCTCATTAAATTTTCGTGATAATGTGGATATTTGTGTCAAATGTTACACATGAATAAGCCAAGATTTAAAGATGTTTGTATGAAAAGTATAGGCTTTAATTTATATATATCTATATATCTATGTCTATATCTATCTATCTATCTATATCTCAGTCAGATTTCTGTCTCTTTAATGAAATGACTAACTGAGTCAATTAACTGATAAAGAGAAAGGGTTTATTTTGGCTCATGGTTTTGGGGATTTCAGTCCATGATCAATTGACTCCATTACTTTGGGTCATTGGTGAGGCAGCACATCATGGTAGAAGTGCTGGTGGAACAAAACCACTCACCTCATGAGTCAGGCAGCAAAGAAGAAGAGTGTGACGTTTTGCAATCTCATTTAGGGCATGTTCCCAATGACCTAAGGATGTGCTACCACGCGCCATCTCCTATAATTTCCAACACCTGCTAGTTATGCTAGTCTGAGGACCAAGCCTTTAACAAATAGACTTTTGAGAGATACACCAATTATCCAATCATAACAATATAAATAGGTGATGCTTTAAGTGTGTGAATATTCCAATGCAATAAGTTCATTTACAGTGGGTAAAAGAATATGCTGACTATACAGAATTAATTTTAAATATTTTGGTGACATAAGTATATTTAGTGGAGACATTTTTATGGTAGCCAAGAATATACAAATAACCAACATCTAAAAATATTTGAAATTTTCTGTGTATTGTGTCTATTCACAAGGTATAGACAACTATGCAGTCTAAAAAGAAATGTAACACTTTGTTGAGGGAAGAACTGTCCTTTCAGAACTTTCTGTAGTATGACAAATGGAGTTACTTTGATGTCCAATCCTAGGTGACCAAATATGACTAAAAATTATATGCACCAAAATAACATGTTTATCATATGATAAAATATATGCATATACATTCACAAATATATATAAATACATATTCAAATGTATATTTGGATAAACATTGAAGATGAATAGGAAAAATCTAAATTGAACACTCAACAATGGGTACCTATCTTGTGCAAATGTGATTTAAAAGGGGATTTTTGTAAAATGAATTTACAAGTATGAGGAGAATTGTGAAGCCTGTTAATTACAGCATGGCATGGGCTAAGGACCACTTATTTTGTCCCCAGAGGAGAAAAAATACATCACCGTATGGAACTGGGTACAACATTCCTCTGATGTTTTGTTAAAGTACTATTTTCTCTAAAACAATGAAAAGGTGAACTACAGCATAATCAACTGAATTTGATTTGATAAGGAATGAATGTTTTGTGACCCTTACTTCCTTAAAATACTCACACTCTCCCTTCCCCTTTATCTCCATCTTCTTACAGTGGATATAAATAAATTTTTTCACAAAATTTATTACCTGATATTATGCTACCTGTTTTGTTTGTTGATTGATCTACCATCCAAGTTAGAACACAAACTCTACAAATGCAGGAATTTATTTGTCTGCTTTGTTGCTATGTTTCAACAGGGGAATAATGCTATTCACAGAATTAGAGCTAATGAATCTGAGTTATTCTTCTTTATGGCTGAATAATATACCATAATGATGTGTACATATAACAAAAGTTTTGTGTATATATATATATATATATGCACAAATGTGATACATCCACTATATATATGTATATGGGTATATATATATATATATACCATATATATTTCACATAGACCACATGTACTAATCCACTCACCTGTCAATGGGCACCCAGTTTGATTCCATATCTTAGATATTGTGTATAGTGCCACGATAAACATGAGAATGCAGGCATCTCTTTGGCATGCTGATTTCATTTCCTTTGGGCATATATCTGGGACTTAGATAGCTGGATCATATGGCTTATGTATTTTTCATTTTCGTTTAAAGAATGTTCATACTTTTTTTTGGTGGTACTGGTGTTTGAACTCAAGGCCTCACATTACTAGGCAGGTGCTCTCTCACTTTAGCCATGTGACCAGCCTTTTTTGCTTTTGTTTCAGATAAGGTCTTATATTTTTACCCAAACTGGCCTTCAACCACATTTCTCCCTGTCTCTACATACTGAGTAGGTAGGATTACAGGTGTGCACCACTGATTGCGACCAGGATTGTTTATGGTATTCTTTACTTGGATGTATAATAGTGACAACTAGAAGTGGGTCTGGGTGGATAAAAGGAGGCTGGATTAGATCAAGGACAGCTATATACATGTACTGAAATATTTTACTGAACCTCACTAGTACGTACAATTGATGCATGTTAATTAAAAATAAAACAAAATAATAAAAAAAAATCTGAATCAAACATGTAATAATTTCTAAAGGAAAATTTACTTCTGTCCCTACAGCTATCAATGCAAAGCCAGAGTGGCGCCCATAGATTTGAGTCAGAGAAACACAGTAAAGGACCATGGGATTGGTAAGTTATGCACACACAGCAGCTAACTGATCAGGTAAACAAAATAAATAATTCCTGGGTTCTCATGATTTGGAGTTTAGAACTTGAGTATGTTAAGTAATAGAAATTCTTGTATATAACTGGGTCCACCTCAATGGAAAAAGTCAACCAAACCAGCAGTGTCTCTGAGTTCATTCTCCTGGGACTTTCTTCTCGGCCTGAGGACCAAAAGCCATTATTTGTTCTCTTCCTCATCATTTACCTGGTCACCATAGCAGGCAACTTGCTTATCATTCTGGTCATACAGTCTGATCCTCATCTTCAAACCCCAATGTATTTTTTGTTGAGTTCCCTGTCTTTCACTGACGTTTGCTTCGCAACAACCATTGTTCCCAAGATGTTGGTGAACTTCCTGTCAGAAAGCAAGACCATCTCCTATGCTGGGTGTCTGACTCAAATGTACTTTCTGTATGCTTTGGGCAACAGTGACAGCTGTCTTCTGGCAGTCATGGCCTTTGACCGCTATGTGGCCATCTGTGACCCCTTCCACTATGTTACCACTATGAGCCACAGCCGTTGTGTCCTGCTGGTGGCCTTCTCCTGCTCATTTCCTCACCTTCACTCTCTCCTGCACACACTTTTGCTGAATCATCTCACCTTCTGTGACTCCAATGTTATCCACCACTTTCTCTGTGACCTCAGTCCTCTAATGAAATTGTCCTGCTCCTCCACATTTGTCAACGAAATTGTAATAATAACAGAAGGAGCTGTTGTTTTGGTGACCCCCTTTCTATGTATTGCTTTCTCTTACATACGAATTCTCATCGCAGTTCTTAAGATTCCCTCTGCTGCTGGAAAATGCAAAGCCTTCTCTACTTGTGGTTCTCATGTCACGGTGGTAACACTCTTTTATGGAAGCATCTTCTATGTCTACTTACAGCCAGTGTCCACTTACACTGTTCAGGACCACATGGCAACAATTGTCTACACAGTTGTTTCCTCCATGCTAAATCCTTTTATCTACAGCCTGAGAAACAAAGACCTGAAACAGGGCCTGAGGAAGCTCATGAGAAGGAGAAGATCCTAGGCAGCATCATCTTGACTAACCTACAAGTGGAATCTCCTCCACCTTGACTTAGTTTTTAGTAGCGCTTGGTGAACAATTAAGCTTTCAGTAGTTAGTATTTTTAGTATGTGAGTCAAGGCTATTGGGGGCACTTACATCCATTGATAATGGACTTAGATCCATTGATAATAGGCTACCATTTGGTCCTTCATACGCTTAAATCATAATACTCCAATCACTGATATATATATATATGCGTGAGTGTACGTATCGTGGAGTTTTATTCAACCATATGGAAGAATGAAACCATGTGGTCTGAAGGTAAATGGGTGCAATTGGAGGACATCTAAGCCAGGCTCAGAAAGACAGTCTCCATGTTTTCTCTCATATGTGGGAGATAGACACAATACAAATATAAGCAATATTATGAAAAGAGTTTACACTAAGGGGAGGTCACTGGGGGGAAAAGGAGGGTAAAAGAAGGAAGCTAAAAAGGTGAATATGGTTGATGTATTTCCTATACTAGAATGAATATGGAATTTTTAAACCTGTTGAAATCACCATAAGAAGGTGACTAATGTTGAAGTGAGAAATATAGAGGGAATGAACCAATTCGGGCTAACATACATATATATATGGAAATGCCACAAGCAAACTCCCTGTATAGCTATCTTAAACAGACAAAACATATTCTCAAAAACAGAGAACAAGAAGGTAAAACAGGTCCTGTCTGGGAGGTAAGTACCAGTGGGAGGGGAAATACACAAGTAAAGCGTGTAGGAGAGTGAATATGGTAGAAATATTATGTACTCATGTATGAAATGGAAAAATGAGATCTGTTGAAATTATTTTAAGAATGAGGAGAGGAAGGATAAAGGAGAATGATGGAGGGAGTGAATTCAGCTATTATATATTGTAAGAACATTTGTGAATGTCACAATATACCCCAAATACAATAATAAAACAATAAAAATTTAAAAAATAACATTCATATTCACTCTCCCTCCTCCTTCTTAGGGAAATTCTTCACATTCTCCACTTTCTCATCTTTCAAATACTGCCTTAAACTATCTTGTTGTCACAAAAATTCCTGGACAAATTTCTCTGTTTATAAGACTATTCTTCCAAAATTCTTCTCATTTCAATATTTCATTGAGAAAAATTACAAAATTTGTAGTTGTTAAAATTTTTGCAGACATTTGAAGAGGGAAAGAATGAGGAATAGAGTGGTAGGATGATGATGAGGAAGTCTACAATTTAGTACATTTTTCTCAATTTGAGTATATTATAATTCCTTATTTTCCTCTTTCTGAGATGTTTTCTTGCATAAATCTGGTCTTTACTTCTTCCCTTTTCCTTCTATCCTCCAGAGTTGTGTTACACTACTGTGGCTTAGTTTCCTCTTATATTTTATCATGGAGTTAAAAATGCAAATAGAATAAGAATCATGAATGATAACATGGGAGTTATGCATTGCACATAGGAGAGGTTGAAAACTCCCTTCCCTCCTAAACTTTCCTTTGTTCCTAAACTATATGTTTAAAGCATATTATTTAATACCTTACTCTAGAAGGCCCCGCTCCTAGGACTTTAGTGAACAGAATATTATCATAAATGTGTATTAACTACATTATTATAAATCTGTACTTCATGCCAAGGTTTTCATGCATACATCTAAAGATGATATGACTAATTCACATAGAGTGCAGCCATATATAGCAGGTTCACAGAATCAAATATATATATACATATATATCTATGTATATGTCTTAAAAAGTCATTAAGTAGGAAGATTAAAATGTGAAGTAATGTAAAAATATGACTCCATTATATTGAAAAACTATATGAATATATGTGTGTGTGCAGCCAAGGCGTAAGAATGAAAGTGCGGGGCGGGGAGGGGTAGAGGAGTATTTTCATTTCCTTGTACACATTCATATCTAAATTTGTTCAAATAAGCCTTTATTGCTTATGAATTTAAAGCTACTAATAAAATAAGGTGGTCCATGCAAAGGTGAAAAACTTTAAAAATTACTAGCTGAAGAGAAAATTTTCAAGTACTTGCATGACTGAAAACGTATTATTTTGCACTTGAACTTTGGAAGATAATTTGATAACCTGGTTTGGATATACCTGTCTAGGTTTTAACACATTTGTTTTGGATCTTTAAAAAAACTGAATTATCCTAAAATTGATTTCAGTGAGAAATATGAGGCCATTTGAATTTATTTGCCTTTATAATAGTCCATACTCCATGGGTATCCTATACTAAACATGGATATTCTTCCACTGCATAGGCCTTTGGAGAGTGGACCTTGATTCTACCCACTTAATTCCATGCCTGAGCTGAGGAGCCTAGTTTTTGTTCATAACTGCACGCTTTTTCCATGGGTGTCAACATTTGGCCAATGAGTAATAACACACTAGGCAAATAGATCATGGACGTGGCACCCAAAGCAAAAAGCATGATATAAAATGAAAATCTGAAAAATTGAACTTCATTAGAAAATGTATTCTGCAGAGGACCCTGTTAAGAGGATAAAAAGAGAAGCTATAGAGAGGAAGAAAATATCTGCAAATCACATATTTGACAAAGGACTCGTATCTAGAATGTATAGAGAACTCTCAAAATTCAGTAATAAAAACCAAAAGAAGCTGGGCATGGTGGCTCAGGCCTGTAATCCCAGCATTTGGAAGACTGAGGCTGGAGGATCACAAGTTCAAGGCCAGCCTGGGCTATATAGTCAGACCCTACTTCAATTTGACAGAGAACAAAAATAAAACCTAAACAATCCAGTGGGATCATGAGCAAAACTCATGATTAGACTCTTCACCAAAGATACACGTACGCAGGTGAGAACTCAAAAAGATATTGAATATCATTAGCCATCTGGAAAATGCAAATTAAAGTGACAATGAGATTTGACTACACACCTATCAAAATGGCTGAACTAAAAACTAATGAGAACACCAAATTCTTATAAGGATACAGAGAAACTGGATTACTCATACTTTGCCTGGTGTGACTACAAAATGATGTAAGCACCCAGAAAAAATAGATAAGAGGTTTAATTAAAAGTAACAATGCAACTACCATATAATCTAGAAATCACATTTATCCCAAAGACATGAAAAACTTGTTTTTATGCAAGCTTTGCTGGAACTTGTCAAAATTTAAAGTAAAAAACTCAGGTCCTTCAACAAGTGGATGGCTCACAACAGTGTCAGTCCATACATGAAATATCATACAGCACTTTAAAAAATGAACTGCTGATATAAATAATAGTCTGGGAAAATATTTAGAGAATTATGCTGAGTTAAAAAATCCAACACCCCAAAGCTTACACATTATGTGATTCTGTTTATATATTAATTTTGAAATTATAGAATTATATCAGTGGAAAACAGATTAACAGTTGCCAGACTATATAGAGAGGGCAGAGGAAAGAGGGCAGTGCATGTGGTTACAAGTTGGCAGTATTAGAGATCCCAGTGGTTACAGAATTTTCTTTATCTTGACTTTATAAATGCCAGTATTTAAGTTGTGATATTTTATTATAATTTTGCATAAAGTTATTTTTTGACAAATTGGGTAATGGGTAAGTGAGATCTGTCTGTAGTGTTTCTTCTGACTGTATCTAAATATATATCTTAAAAATCAATAAGAAGGTTTAATTAAAGGTGTGTTTACAATTACTCAGTGAAAACTAGGGACTATGCTGACAAAATGTAAAATGAGATGCAGAATATACACAGCATCAGAAGGAGAATGGAGCAAATAAAAAAGGGAAAGATTAAAAGAAAAGGTAAGTATGATATACAGGAAGAAAGAAAGTGTCAAAATCAATTGCAAATATATAAAGGTTATGTAAATCTTAATAGACAAATTTTTATGAAAATTAGATTTTTATAGTGAATAAACGTCCATCTGAAATAGAGAAGACTTCCTTTAATTGCAAACTAGATAATTTGGACCAACATTCCCAATGAAGATAAGTAAGCAACTTAGATGGAATACTTTTAAAATAGGTTCTTGAAGGCATCATAAACACAAAATGATGAGGAGTTAAAAAAACTCTACAGGAAGCATGAATTCAAATAGATAAATCCAGCACTGAAAGCTACTTTAGCCCTGAAAGGATTTTCAAACCTTAAAAAAATGTGTATAATTGAGCTAGGTTTACATAAAAGTATAAACACTAACCTATCCCAAAGGATTAGAAGTTATGCACCAATTGATTTGATTTTAAGCTTCTATTTAGAAAAAGAAAAACCTGAAACCAACCATCTATGCTTCCACATTAGAAAACTAAAGAAATAAGAGAAAATTAAATCCAATGTAAGTGGAAGAAAAGAAGTAACAAGAATTAGAGCAGGAATTTATAAAATTGAAAGGTCAATGGAGAAAAATAAATGGAACTAAAAGCTGGTTCACAGAAAAGATCAACGAAAAAAATTTTTTGAGATAGGGTTTTGCTATGTAGCCCAGTCTAGTCTTCAAGTGCTCAGATTACAGACATGTGTAGTTAATAAAGTTGATAAGCTTCTAACATGACTAAGAAAAAAGAAAAGAAAGAAATTATTAATATCAGATTATTATTATAGATTACACAGTTATGAAAAGAATAACAAAGAAGTAATATGAACAACACCATTCTCACAAACTTGATAGGCTAAATGAAATTGACCAACTCCTTTAAAGCTACTATCTGCTAAAACCCCCACAAGAAGAAATAGACAAATCTAATAGGCTAATATTTATTAAAGAAACTGACTAGATAATTAATAACCTTCCTAAACAGAAAGTGACATACACTGATAGGTTCACTTATGAATTCTATCAAACAATTAAGGAAAAATATTCTAACTAATTCACTACAATTTCATCCAGAAGACAGTAGCAGAGGGAATACTGTTTAACTTATTCTGCCTGGCCATCATTTCCTTAATACCAAAATCAGTCAATGACAAGAAAAGAAAACGACACACCAATATGTTTTATGAACTCAAGTACAATTATACTCTATATGATACTGGCAAATTAAATAAAAAAGTATATTAAAAGAATTACTTACCTTGACCAAGTGGTGTTTACCTCAGGTATGCAAGGCTATTTGAACATTTAAAAATTAATTATGTAACCCCTGTGTAACCTATCACATCAATAGGCCAATTAAGAAAAAAATGACATAGTAGATGCAGAAAAGTTATTTAACAAAATCCAATGTTTTTATTAAAAGGTCAGTGAACAAGGAAGAGAGGGGAACTTTCCCAACTTGATAAAGGGTATCTACAAAATCCTTACAGATAGTATCATATTTAATGGTGAGAAAATAGCAGCTTTCCAACTAATACCATGAATGAAGCATAAATGTCCCCTCTTGCCACTCTTTCTCAACATCATTCTAGAAGTCTTATCCAATGAAACTCTGCAGAATAAATCAAAGGAGAACTACATAAATGAAAATATATTGCATTTTTCTTGCACTCAATATTGTCATAGTGTCAATTCTTTCAAGCTTGGTCCATAGAGTCTATATAACTAAAATCAAAACAGCAAAAGTTTATTTTGTAGAGATTGACAAATTATCTAAAGCTTATATAGAAAGGCAAAATACTCATAATAAAAACAGGTCCTGTTCGGGAGTGATTACTAGTGGGAGGGGAGAGGAAGAACAAAGAATGAGAAGGAGACCAAATATACGAAAATAAAACAATGAAACCATTGAAATTGTTTTAAGAAGAGGGAGGGGAAATAAGGGGGAATGATGGAGGGGGAAATCTAACCAAAGTACATTGCAAGCATACATGTAAATATCGAAATGAACCCCCTATAAAATTAATATATGTTAATAAAATGTTTTAATAAAGGAAAAAAGTCTGTGTATTACTACCAGATTTGAAGATTTATAATAAAGTCACAGTAATCAAGACTGTAGTATTGGCAGAAGAATATACAAATAGTCTAATGGAATGAAAGAGAGAACCCAGAAGTACAGCCACATAAATATAGTCAACTGAATTTTGACAAAGGAGCAAAAGCAATACAATGGAGAAAAGATTCTCTTTTGAACAAATAATGTCCAGCACTATTTGTGAAAAAATGACAATAGATAGACACTGACCTTCCATCTGTTATTATGCATTCCATACTAAGATATTACTCAGCCATAAAAGAAATGAGCTGTCAAGTCATGAAAAGATACAGAGAAATCTTAAATGCATACTATTAAGAGAAAGAAGCCAATATTCAAAGGAAACATATGATCCCAAGTGTGTGGCATTCTATAAAACATAAAGCTGGAGATAGGAGAAAGATCACTCGTTGTTAGGGATATGTGGGACAGAGGAATGAACAGGTCAAGCACAGGTATTCAGGTCAGTGAGACTGTTCTTTATCATACCATAATGGTGGAAATATGTTATTATACATTTGTCAAAACCCATAGAATGTAAATATCAAAATCAAACTCTAATGGAAGCTATGGACTTTGGTGATAGTGATGTGTCAGTGGAGATTAGTCAGTTATACAAATGTACCACTTTGGTATGACATGATAGTAGCAGGGAGGCTGTGCAGGTGTAGTGGCTAGGGATATAGGGGAATTTTTGCTCAATCTTGCTGTAAATGTAAAGTTGCTCTACAAAATAAAGTCTAGTGAAAAGTAAAAGATTGCAACATCAATTCTTGCTAAAGTGTCCAGACTGCTGGCTTGTTCTATACATTATAGACTTGTTACTCCCTACAATTGCATAAGCCAACAGCTTGAGATAAATATCTTTATCAAATATACAGACCATAAAAGGAATTCTGGACTGTGTGACTGAAGGGCAGAGGTAGGGATCTTAGAAGTATGGCATTTGTTTCAAAAAAGGGAAGCTACTCATAAACACAAACTTTTCTTTCTCTGACCTTTGCTTTGGAACTAGAAATTGCAATACTAGATTACTGTGATCAGGACCAAATAACTTAAATTCAAGACCAGGGTGGTCTAATCTGTTTTCACTATTTATGTCATTGTTTCTGTCCTTTCTATTCAAGGGGAAGAGATCTTTCACAACACCCAGAAGTCATACTCTTTACAAACTTGATCCAGCATGAACTTCATCTTGAGGCTTCAGAGACTTCTTTAGACATTTCTTCGTCTCTCTTGGGCACCTTTCTAATTATTGGAGTATTTTTGTGCCGACCCCCAAATTCACTTTCCTGACTTTAAAAACCACATTTAAAAATATGTAGCTATAAAGAAGAAACTGATTACCTGCAGTTCCATTGCAAAAAGATAACTACTGTTCATAATAGCAGTTTCCATTAGACTGATTTCTGTAAAATTATTGGTCTAAAAACTTCCAGCACACTTGATTTATCATTTATTTATTTTAGGAAATGTTTTATGAAAGAACCCAGAGAACAAATTATGTACTGAATACAAAATTTGCATAAAGTGGGCACTTAACCAATACTGATTTCTTTCAACTTATGCATTGCAGTTAAAAAAAAGAGTGCTTTTAAGTTAAAGAAATGAAATGCCATTAACTACAGTATATATTAACTTAATTCTTGTTTCTTATTCTCATCATTCAATATTATCTTTAAATATCCTCTCAACACCTTCCTTGTTGTGATCACCACACTGTGATCAATAGAAAGAGAACAGGTATGGGAATCAAATTTACCTGGTTTGGGCAACATATGTGTACCCAAAGTCACAGTCTTCACATATCTATCTCAAAGAACTGACATGCACAGCCATGAGGAATATTGTGGATGGTCAATAAATGTTCACATTCTTGTCTTTTCACCTCACTGCATGCTGCCTCACTGGGGTGGATTTCCTTGGCTTCAGACCCCAACTACATATGGCCTCTGTTCATATGGATAATACACTGATTTTAGAGATGAGGATCAGAGGATGGTGTTCTGCTGTTAGTAATGGTTGTCTCACTGAGATCAGGAAAGAGACTGAGGTAGAACATTTCATTCCACAGTCTTAGGAGTGAAATACCCTTTTTTGTTATATTTCTAATTTAGAATCATTGAAGTGATGGATGGCAGGATTAGACATCATAGTTGCAGTAGGAAGAATGCTTTTCCACTGCCAAAAAGTTTTCCCAAAGCCTCCTTCATGTCTCTATTCCTCAAGCTATAGATGAATGGGTTTAGCATGGGAATAATGACCATATAGAGAACAGCAGCCCTACTTTCCCTCCCTGTAGAATGAGTTGACGGGGGAAGTAAATACACCCCCATAAGAGACCCATAGAACAGCAGAACCACCAAGAGATGAGAACCACAGGTAGAGAAGGCCTTCCATTGTCCTCCAGTGGATGAGATGCCCAACACAGCCAGGAAAATGTGGACATAGGAGAACACAATCAGCATGAGAGGAACAGCAAGGAACATCAAGCACATGGTGACGATCATCAGCTCATTAATGTGGGTATCGGAGCAGGCAAGCCTCAGTAAAGCACTGGGATCACAGTAGAAATGGGGGATGGCCATCTGGGCACAGAAAACCACACGGGTCAGCAACAGTGTGTGCATCAGGGCAGGGAAGTTGGTTAGCACCCAGCACGTACACAACATTAATGCACAGAGGTGAGGACTCATAGCTTTGCTGTAATGGAGTGGCTGGCAGATGGCCAGATAGCGATCATAGGCCATCACAGCCAAGAGGCAGTTGTCAAGGCCACCAAACATAAGGAGGAAGTACAGCTGTGTAAGACACCCTGAATAGGAAATGGTCTGACTCTGAGTATGAATGTTGGCCAGCATTTTGGGAATTGAGGCAGAAGTGAAACAGGCATCAGTTAATGACAGATTGGCCAAAAAGAAGTACATGGGAGTATGTAGATGTGGGTCAGAGCTGATGGCCAGGATGATGAGCAGGTTCCCCACCACAGTGATCAGGTACATGCCCAGGAAGATGCTGAACAGAATGGGCTGCTCCTTGAGCTGCTCAGAGAGTCCTAGAAGAAGGAAGTCTGAAACAACAGTTTGGTTCACTTGGCTTGGTTTTCCCATCCCTTGTAGTTCTTGTTATCTGTGCAGATAAAACTTTTATGTGTCATTATTTAATCATTAGATCAGTTTACAGATATGCGTCTGTAATGTCAGAACTATACTGGGGAGGAAGGGAGGTTATGTATGGTCCTTGCCAACAAAAGTCTCTGGATGTCACTGAAGATGTAAGAAGCTAACCATGAAAGGCCGGGGGTGTAGGTAGCATGCATGAGAACCTGTGCTCAATCACCGGCACTGCAAAAAAATACCCATGAGATATTTAGCTAACAGGATAATACTCATTCAGATAAGAATTGTACTGTCTATAATACTGTAACAGCATCCAGAGAAAGCAGATAAGTTTGATTAGAGCAATCAGCAGAGGTTATTTGGAGGAGGTAACAATTAGCATGCCCTTCACAGCAAAATTGAAAAGTAGTTTTATGACAGTGCATTAGAAAGAAGATGAATATCCTTCCCCAAAACACACTCTCTCTCTGTCCTCTGACTCTTTGTCTCTGTCTGTCTGTCTCTCTTTGCTTCTCACATGTTATCGCCTTCTATGTGGGAACTGAAAATGACTTTGAAGGAAAAGATGAGTAGGTTCCTTTTCCCTTACCTCTCAATTCCTAGAATTTTACCACTTCTATTCAGATCAGAGTTGAACATTTCCCTAACTGGGAACATAGAAAATGTGGGCTGAGGGAAATGGGTATCTGATATCCCAGTCTCACATCCTCTGCTAGGGTATCCTTTCCACAAACAGGACAGGGGTCATTGCCCCTCCATTACTGTCTGTCATTTTTTCCTATTCTCCTTCCTTTTTGCACCTCTGCTTTTGCATCTCCTCTGGGAACCCTATGCATGTACTACATCTCTTTTGAAGGGAAAGTGAAAGGTATACCTTGCCTTTCATGGCTTAAAAAATAGCCACTCTGTTCTTCTGTCCTGATATTTAGAGAAGGCCGGCATGAGAGGCCATCTAATATTGTCCTTGTAGAAGCTGTGGCCTTAGATGCTTTGTTAGCTTATATTAGGTTATATTAGCCTTCCATTTGTTCTGTGGTTCATAGAGAGGCTTCTAACTTAAACAGAGACTCATCTTACACACCCCGAATGTTTTGCCTGAACATTTGGCTGGGAGGCTCATGTGTGTGTGTGTGTACACATGCTCTAGCATTTGTGCAGGTGTGTGTGTTCTATACCTTCTAGATCCTCACCTTTCGAGAATGCCTCAATTTCAAGCATTTTCAAATTCTCTCATTCTTACCTGTACATGAAAAATTCTCGTAAAAAGCTGGGATCTTTCTGACTCAGAGTCAGCAAACTTGGGGTCTATTGAGTCCAGTGTTCATTAGGAACACCAGTAGTGTATGACTCAATTTCAGATTCTCCAGGATGGAGAAGAAAGGAATATTTCTTAGGGCTATAAAGTCTCCTGGAGTACTATCCCCCAAAGAGGTCATTGGAACCAGCCTCTGTGTCATTGTGCAGCCTGTTCTCCAGCCAGGACTGGGTCCTGGGGGAGCTGGGGGCATCTCTTCTCCAGGGTGAAGCTCTCAGATGTGAGTCTCTGGAGTGTGATTCTGAATGTCTTGCTGGAGTGCAATGCACTTCAGCTTGAGTAGCAAGTCTTTTGGGAACTCCCACCTATGCATTGGACAATTCAGTTTCTATTCTGTGCCCTAGGTAAAACTGTAGAAATCGGGAGCCTAAGTTATAATACGACCATTTCTGATTTCACCAAACAGAGTAATTATAATATGAAGCCACCCCCTCAAAAATCCAAAGTCTCAAATAAAGCAGTTTATATCAGCATAATGGCTTGTACAAAGGAGCTGCTTAAAAAGCTACTTTTGGCTTTCATTTTTGAGTTATCATTAGCTAGTTATTCTTGAACATTTTTGGTACATGGTCACATGTAATAAAACAAACTTAGGATGTTGGAACTATTGTTACCCCCAATTCACAAATAGAAAAGCTGATGCTCTGTGAGGACTGTGGATGACCAAGGCCACCACACTATTTGGTGGAGGAAGTGGAATTCCTACCTTTGATGAATGTCACTCGAGATCATTCTATTAACCACTATATTTTGTGCCAGTATCTTTTTTGGGTTATTGGGTTCTGCTTGAATCATTAACAACTACATCTGTACAAAGTGATCAAACAATTTTAAGCAGCTTGCATGTCTTATCTTACTGGTAAGATTAAATATTTCTTTTATCTGTTTTTGTTGTTTTGCAACAACTTAGGCACAACTTAGGCCAGTGTTCTGCCACTGAGCTACATCCCCAGAGTTTCTGATGTTAAACTGCAAATAATTATTCCTCTAATTATCCCTGTTAATACATTTGTCATTTTGGAAATGGTCATGGCTTTTAAATGGATATTAAAGACAATAAAAATAAGAATTTTTTTTTGGTGGGACTAGAGTTTGAGCTCAGAACTTCACACTTGCAAAGCAGGTGCTCTACCGCTTGAGCCACACCTCCAGTCCATTTTGCTCTGGTTATTTTGGAGATGGGCTCTCACAAACTATTTGCCCAGGCTGGCCTCAAACTGCAATCCTCCATATCTCAGCCTCCATGTAGCTAGGATAACAGGTGTGAACCACTGGTGCCCTGAAATAAAACATTTTATTTTATTTAATTTTTTGGTTCTAGTCATTTAATTATGTATAAAATTAAAAAAATATTTCTGTCATCCAAGTTGACAGGACCCGTTTTCCCTTCCTGTCCTTTGTTTCTGAAAAAGACATTTTTGTTTGATTAAGATAACTATACAGGGAGTTTCCTTATGACATTTCCATGTATATATTTATTATGTCCTGAATTGCTTCATCCCTTCCACTTTTCTCCTTTCTACCTTATTTCTCTTCTTATGGTGATTTCAGTAGGTTTAAATATTCTTTTTTCATTTTTATTAGCATCTATTCATTGGATGGGGGGGATTTGTGGTTCTGACACTCCTTAGTAGCCTTACCTTGCACATCAACCATATTCACCTTCTTTACTTCCTTCTTTTACCCTCCTCCTCCCATTAGTGCCCTCTCCTTAGCATGACCTGTTTCTCATTCCTGTCCTTCTTTGTTTAGGTATCTGTTCATTGTTCAGTGTGATTTTTGTCTTGTACCTGTACATGCATTATGTTTAAGTCAATGTAATTCCCCTCCACTGTAATTCCTTGCCCTTTTCCACTATCCTGTGTTGTTGACAGTTTTCAGTGTGTGTTTTTTTTGTGTGTGCGTGTCTTGTTCTTACACAGTTGTGATGTGTTTCATTATTATTTGCTATCTTTAGTTCTTTTCTTCTATCCCTGGCCTCCTCTATCATGTCCACTTTTGGATACATGCTTTGTATATATTTTATGTAATGTTGCTTATATTTGTATTGGGTCTATATTCTACATATGAGAGAAGAAAGGCAGCCTTTGGCTTTCTGAACCTGGCTAACTTCACTTAAGATGGTCTTCAGTTCCATCCATTTATCTCTAAGCAACAAAATTTCATTCCCCTCTATGGCTGAATAAAATTTCATTATATATAAATACCACATTTTCTGAATCCATTCATCAGTTGTGGGGCTTGGCTGTTTACTAAGCTTGGCTATTGTGAATAATTTATTGTAGGACTTACATTCCTCCAGGTATATCCCTAGAAGTGGTATTGCTGGATCATATGCTAGTTCTATTTTTAGTTTTTTGAGGCCTAGGTTTTCTTTTTATTCTGTTAATTGTTTCCTTTGCTGTGCTGAAACTTTTAAATTTGATTCAAACCCATTTGCCAATTCTTTTTATTTCATGAGCAATGTGGTCTCTATTCAGGAAAGTATTTATTACTTCTACCTGCATCTTCCAGGGCTTTCCTCTTGCAGTTTTAAAGTTTCTGATCTTTCACTGGATCTTCAGTTCATTTGGAATTGATTTTGTACTGGGTAAGAGATCATACATGTTGAATTTAGTTTTTCCAACACCATTTGTTGAAATGACTGTCATTTCTCCAATGTAAGTTTTTGATACCTTTGTCAAAATCAGATGGCTGTAGCGTGTGTACTTACTTCTTGATCTTCTATTCTATTTCATTGATCTAGATGTCTGTTTTGTGCCAGTACTATGCTATTTTTTGTTGCTGTGACTATAATATAATTTGAAGTCAGGTATTGTGATAGCTCCAGCATTGTTTTTTTTTCCTCAGGATTGGCTGTCTATTCAGGGTCTTTTGTGCTTCCAAATGAATTTTAGAATTGATTTTTATATTTCTGTGAAAAGTGACATTGGAATTCTGATAGGGATTGCATAGATGCCACAAATTGCTTTCAGCAGTATAGACATTTTCACAATATTAATTCTGCCAATCTATGAACAAGGAAGATATCTCCATCTTCTAGTGTCTTTACAATTTCTTTCTTCAATGTTTTATAGTTTTCATTGTAGAGGTTTCAACTCCTTAGTTTGGTTTATTACTAGATATTTTATTTTTTGAGACTATTGTGAATAAGATTGCTTTCCAAATTTCTTTCTCGGTTCATTTATTTATTTTTAATGCACATTTCTCCTGCACTGTGTTGCTGTTTGATTTCTTTTTTAAAATTAAAAAAATTTTTTTTTATTATTCATTTATTCACATGTGTGTATATTGTTTGGATCATTTCTCCCTCAGCTGATTTAATTTTGATATTAAATCAGGAAAGCTACTGATTTTCAAATGTTAATTTTGTTTCCTATTACTTTGCTGAAAATGTCAAATGAAAGACCTGTTTTTGGTGGAGACCTTAGGGTCTTTTAAGTATAAGGTTGTATCATCTGCAATAGGGATAATTTGACTTCTTCCTTTCCTACTTGTGTCTTTTTTTTTTCCTCTTTGCTTATTGCCTTGGATGGAATTACGCACAATACTGAATAAGAGTAGTGAGAACATGTGCTTATCTAGTTTTGGTGTCAGGAAATACTGGATCCACAGAATGAGTTTGCCAGTGTTCCCTCCCTTGCTAATTTATGGAATAGTTTGAGGGGAATTGGCATTAGTTGTTTTTTTAAAGGTCTGGCAG